CTTATTAATAAAATCAAAAATCAAAATTTTTTATTGAAGTAGTGTCACTGGATGCTCCCTTCTATCACGCCAACTTGCCTTGTAAATAATGTTATAACATTTACTTATTGTATCAAATGTATACAGATTGTAAATATATTTTTGTTTTTATTAATAAAATAATAATAATAAAAAAAAAAAAACATTATTAGTAGATTATATAATGCAATCACTTAGCAAAGTTATCGTTTGTTGGTGCATGGAATTCTGCTGTGGCGTACTTAAAACAGTCAATTTCAGTGCGCAATTAATCGTGTTATTTAATAATAAAAGTACTTAATTTTCCCATGTGATACACATAAAATAAATTTTAAACATCAATTTGATACATCGATATAACAAGTTATATCAATTTATTGAAAACAACTTCAAAATAAATCATCAACTATTAAATTATAATGAATAATGCGGCTTTATTACAACTGCAATATAAATTATATATATATATATATATATATACGTATTGATATGATTATTATAGTTTATGTATAAGTAGTATAACCGTAGATAAAATATACATCACCTATATATAATATTATCTGTGACTATAACACTATACACTATTCTGTAATCGATTTTTTTTAAATATTTACATAATAATTATCTATAACTGCTATCTCAGGTTTTTKAAAATATCCCGAAGATCAATTTTTATTTTCGTTGCTATGTGTAATTAAATAATATTGTGGCTTCATTATATAGTACCTATACAAATAACCATGTACTTATGTGAAAACGAATAATATATCAAATATGTTAATTCTAAAAATTGTATCCACGAAGATAAACTTGGTAAGTCATGACTTGTACAATATAAAATATACTTATTATCGTACATTMAATTTATTTTTACTTTTCTATATTTTTGATTTAATCGAGGTTATGATTAATTTAAATATAAAGATATATTGTTATCTACTATCTTAAATTATTTAAAAAGAGCTTAATCAGGTATCGGGTATACGATATAAGGTGTATCGGGTATCCAACAGATATTATGTACTCATCACATGAGTTTATATTATTATTGTATTTTTTTTTTTTTAAGTTTTCCTGACATTGAAAATCTAAACTTAGTGTTAGAATATTTTTTTTTTATTTTTTATGGCATTTTAACAATGGGATATGTAATTATATACAAAAATTTATAAAGTTTAATGATAAAGAGTTATATTATAAATGCATAAATTTCATAGTATTTATTTAATAAAATATTAACTAGTCTATAATAATTACAGTTATTTTATTTTAGTTATTTATTTGGTACTAGTTAATGTTACACTTTCACAACTGTATAATACTAATCTAAGATTAATTAATGAATCCATAAAGCTACAATATATATGTATTATTTATATTATATTAAATTCCCTATCTAACCAAACTTCAGTATAATTTAATGTTATGTTTTCGTTCGTATAAATTTAACTATGTATAACATTAAGTATTAATAGTAGTTAACTAACTATTGACATGGAACATTATCAATTATAAATATATTTTTTCATTTATATAATGATGTCTACCTAAGATTGTTTTATTCAATTTAAGCAAAATAAAGTCTTATATTCAGATTTTTAAAGCATTGATATTTACGGTTCATCAGTTGAGCCTTAAGCTTATAACAAAAAATTAAAATAAAATATTTTTGTGTAAAAATACTGAAAGATTATATTTATAATGAATACAAGTTTTTAGAAAATTTGACAATACTTAACCATTTCCTAAAACTACAAATATATATTATTCTTTTGGKTTTATGTTTATCATGTAAAGACATAGTTATAGATTATGTTTAGAAAAATAATAAATGTATTGATAATTAAATAACATTAATTTAATACAAATTATATTCGTTATATTATTCTATTGTGTCGATAAATAAATATGATAATYAATGAAATAATATAAATATATAGTCATTACAATATTATAAAATATGTGAAGGTTGAAAATKTAATGTAAATTGTACAATAAAATATATTGAAATCCAAAAAGTTTTTTTTAGTTTGCAAAGAAATCACGACCTATAAAAAAGTATAAATTTAATACTAAAACCAATAATATTTATTTTATTTAAATTAGTTTAAAGCTTCGTAGCTTTTATATAAAAGCTTTGCTTAAAATCTTTTTAAGGATTTGAATAATAAACACCATTAAATGTAAAACAAAAAAAAATACCACAGTTCTAATAAAACCCAATATCATTTGACGTTATAGAATATATGGACTGATTGCATAAAGGTATTAAAAGAATTATATTTTCGTAACGATTTATTTAGTGTTATAATATACGTATAAAATATTATCTAAATAAAATACATATTTGTTTTTATTAAAATAATTACAGTAAATCCTATTTATTTCAACAGTTAACAATGTCTTGTACATTTAATATTATAT